ATGGAAATGGATCAATTTAAGATAAAAGCACAGTTAGCAAGATAAGGACAGTTAGCAAGAAGCCTGCCACGGCCATACGGTTTGAAAGCAATATAAGTGTCTGTGTTTACTTGGTTGGGTCTGAGCGGCTGTGGGACTGGCGGGTGACAGAGGTTTGTCCTGACTGTGGGCAAGGCGGAAAAATCAAGCTACAAGTAACAACACTAACAAAGACCCAGCTCCAACTTAATATCAACCAGAATGAATGACTCACTGAGTAAGGATTCTGTACTTTTAGGAACAGCATTCATTATCTAAACATGCTTTTTCTCATTCAACATCTTTCAATTCTCCATACTAAGCAAATTGTAGCATTTGCCTCTATCGGCCTTATACTCTCCAATTCTGAAAAAAAAGGAATCCAATCTCCAACAGGTCTTCTCTCATTATGACCATTCTCTTCTACATTTCACCTATTCATATTTGGATTCATAGTACCATTTAATTCTTCCATTTCCTGCTCATATTCCTCACTATGTTTAAAAAGAGATTGTCCTTAAAAAGAGATTGCTCAAACTCTCCTTTGCATGTAAGACCTTTTACCAATGTCATATGTGTTTTAGGCTGTCCTCATAATATATCTGATTTTAAGAAGTCATATTATATAACTCACACTAGCCAAATATGATTTCTATAAATCTATAGATACAGGAAATTAGGTAAAACATTGACTTATTCAAAATGTTAGCATCTTATGATTGAGAGGGATAACAAGGGTACCTCTAAGAAAATACTGCACCTCATTATCTTTGAGAAGCTTGTCTCAAAACAAATGATATATTTCCCCAAATACTTTACATTTTGAATGGTTCCTTTATCAGAAGAAGCACAACACTGTATTTGTATAGGTAGCTCACAGATTATGGAAATAGAAAAATGGAAGTTTTCTTACCTTCCAGGAAATGATTACAGACTTTATGACAAGACTTCAATATCTGCAACATAAAAAGAAAAACTGCCAATATTTACATCATGTCAAAACAAGTATTCTTCAAGGAAACAAAAACTGAAATATGACACTTTTCTCAGCAATCAGAGATCAATTTTTAGTAGAGAAATAGAAAGATGATATCATAATTATTTTTTCAAAAAGGCATCTCATGTAAACCAGGTTGGCATCCAACTTGCTATATAGCTGAGAATATAGAAAATGTCAGACTTCTGGTCCTCCTGCCTCTACCTCCTGAGTGACAGGATTATAAACATGTGCTATGAGGTCTTATTTTACACAGTTCTAGGAACTGAACCCAGATTCTTGTGCATCCTAGGCAAACATTCTACCAACTGAGCTACATCTCCATTCCTTGGTTTACTGAATAAGAATAAATAAAAATAATACGACATGATTACAACTCACAGTGCTATGATCAGAAAATAAGCAACACAAGCAAATCTCTAAAAAGAATTTGGATTACAATATACAATACTGCTAAAGCTTGTTTTCTATTGCCATTAAAAACACTATGGCCAAAACAACTTATTTTAGCTTTCAGGTTATCGCTCATTACTGAAGGATGTCAAGGTACCCCTAGATTTTATGGTTCTCTGTCTTACAGATGGCACGTTGTGGAACTTCATGGCCTTCACTGTCATGCCAGTTCATAGCCAATTTCTCGGTACATCCTTATGTATCATGTCACTTCAATTTCCATTGAGAAACTGACTGTCATATGTTATACATCGCCTGGTAGATTCATACCCAGATTACATGAAATTCTTGTTCAAGAACACAATAATAAGGCAAGCACAATAGACAATGTCTGGTGTCCCATCACTTAGGAGACAGAGGCGGGCAGTTTTCTGTGAGTTCAAAGCTAGCCTAGAAAAAAAAAAAGGTGATATTAGTTATGAAGTTGAAAATAATGAATGTGGTCAAGTAAAAAGAGAAAATTTCTTCCCTGAATCAGTCCTACATAGGACTCTCAAATGCTTCCCAAGAAAACATTGCCTGATCCCAATTCAGATTTGAATTGTAGGTTGTTTTTGTACCATTGAAACAGAAAATGTACTTTCTTTAGAGTATGAGAAAAATATTTAAGTTCCAGAACCACTTATATTGCTTGGGCAGCCCCAACCAGTCATCTGTTTGATGTTCACAATACAAAATTTTGGTTTGTTAATGGAAAATTGATATGACAATCAAACTTTCAGAATTATATTTAATAATATCTATTAACTTAGTCCTCAATAAATATTTTACAAATATTGATTCCTGTTTTCCACTAATAAAAACCCAGTATGTAGAATACTACTCAAACAATAAAACTGACCTAGCATGTTCCTGTAATCATAAACATCAGTGAATGCCAATCCTGTATCAATTCCAAGAGGAGCTTCACACAACTTCCTTCTACATAGGATGTGGTGCTGAAACCACAGAAACTTCAGAATATCTTAAATCCTTCCCCAAATCACCCAATACACTCCTATGTCCTATGAGGAGACCAGATCCTCTCCCTGTGGCTAGTCTTTCCCTTTGTAAGTAATCATCAGACCCACCTTTGCTTCAGATGTGTGTGGTGATATTTTTGTGTTCTAACAAATAAGGCTTGCCTGGAGATCAGAGTGCAGAGCTAACCACTAGTTAACTATAGAAGCCAGGGAGTGTTGGCATACACCTTTAATCCCAGCACTTGGGATCTCATGCCTTGATCCTAGTACTTGGGAGGCACATGCCTTTAATCCCAGACATGGGGAAGTGGAGACAGGAAGTGATATGGATGTGCGGAAACAGGAATATAAGGCAGGAGGAAACAGGAGCTCAACCCTTTCAGACTGAGGAGTTGGTGAGGTAAGAAGTGGCTGTGGCTTGCTCCTTTGCCTCTCTAATCCTTCAGCATTTACCCCAATTCTGGCTTTGTGTTTTATTATTAAGACCAATTAGGATCTGTGTTACAGATGTGGTCTTGCTGGGCTTCAGTAGATCATACTCAGTCCCCTCCTGGAATCTACTTTTCTACTCCTTGCAGAAGAGGTCTGTTACCACCATGCATTGACTATTTTGGCACCCTTATTGGAGTTCAGAGCCCCAAGTTTTCTACATTGAAATCATAGTTAAGACAGTTTAATACATATTAGCTGGAACTACTCCTCCTTCAAAAAAGCATTGTTTACCAGGCATCTAATTTTACACATCCATTTTGATGTTTAGTGAGTGAAAGAATGTCAGTAGCTGTTAATCTCCAGAGACAAGCTACATTCTTTGTAGTGTTGAACTGTTGTGAGCTGTGATCTATCTGGATGTTTGGAGATAAGGTGACAAATGCATACCTCTAAGTGGAAAAGCAATTTTCTCTTATGCTTCAAAATTCTCTAATTCCTAGGTTTTGCTTTAAATGAAGAAAGGTTGGTCTGTGAGTAAAAATTCTGTTTTGATAGCTCAGATCTTTGTAAAACCCCCATAGGAATTAACAGAAAGCAGCTTCAGTCAGAACAATGTTTAGAAAATATAAGTTTGTACCTTGTCATTATATTTCACATTTCTGCTTAAAATTGCAATGAGGATACTTGCTTCCTAGCTCCCTTTTCGTTTAATTCAATAGATACTTTTCATTTGTGCTTTTTAAAAAGTATTTTTAAAATTGTATTCTACATAATGTGACACATAAATTGCACACTGTGGAAAGGATTGTCTGCCTCCTTGAATGAAACCATTTTAATCTCAAGAGTTTTATTATCTGTTAAAACCTATTTAAATATAGGCATTCAATTTTACGTTACTTGACATTTATGGGGAAGCTATTTTATAGCGGGAGGCTTCTGAATAGGCAAGATCACAACAAATATTCATGATTAAATGACACATGAGATTGAAAAATATGGGGAAAGGATGATCTAAATACTCTTGGCAGTCCGCACATAGGGTGATATTTGATACAAGCTTGGACTAGGGATTAGTTAATGAAGATTTGTGTCTCATAACTGCAACCTTGCAGCTACGACCTATAACCTTGAATAAGAACTGCTTACTGCTCATTTTTCCATAGTAGAGTATTAATTGAAGATTTCCTGATTTTTTATATCTAACTGAATAATTTATTATGAAAACAGGTACATAGGCAACTATTTACTGTGTGTAATTTTTCAGGCAGCAATTACATTTTCTATGTTTTTTTTCAAGTAGAAAATAATACTGATGTTGTTTGGTGAACTATCTATAAGCAGCTTTAATCCTGCTTTCGAGATCAGTCAATATCATCCATTTTTTTTATGCACTGAAACAGATAAACAAGTTTTAGCCATAGTTTGAAAAATGAAACAAGTTTTTTTTTTCCTTTAGTAACTGGGATAAATCAACTTTACTGTTATGAGGAGTTTTTGTTTTGTTTTGTTTTTTAAACTGACCTAGTGAATCTGATACATAACAACTTAAACGGAGATTTTTATGAACAAGGAAGAAAATTCTGTGAAAAATTTTATATTGCAGAGAAAAAAATGCATATGAAACTTTGATCCATCAAATGGCCATTGAAAAATGAGGTAATTACCTAAAATAATTTGCATGTAAAGAGCTAATACAATATTACAAAGTGAAGTCCAGTTGTGAAGGCAAGGCATAATTTCCTGATTAATGTCTCATGCACGATATTCCTCCATGCTCTGTCAGAGCCCAAATAACAATATTGCCAATCAATCAAATGAAAAAAAAATTCTCAGACAAGGAAAGTATTGATCTCTAACAGACCATGATTTATAAACAGTGAGATTTGGGGTTATTTGGAGCTAAGCATGGTCGTGTTTTTAAGGCAATATATTGAGATTTTTAATTGGTATAATTGTAGATTTCTGTGATTCAAGATCAATGTGTGAATGCCAAAAAAATAACATTTTTTTAGTTTCTAAAATGTCATCTACCAAGTTATTGAAGAAAGATCCATTTTGAAATATCAATTTGAACCTAAACTCTGCCAAAAGTTACAATCTGAGCGATATTTACCCAGGGAAACTAAGAATGTCAGTGGAGTAATATGGCCAGATTCCTTACGGAAAGACTAGGGAATGTTTCCTTGGTGTGAAGTGGAAGTGTACTTTTTAGAAGCAAAATTAATTTTCCCCTCATCTGGATTCAGGCATGGAGAAACAGGAAAAGCAAACTACATTAATAATAAAGACTGCAGGAATGAGCACCTGACCAATCACTTTTAACAAACTCAAAATGGGATTCATATTCTATTCTGCTCTTGTGAAAATAGAGAAACTCTCCAAGATATTAAGACTCTCTGTGGGTCTTAAACTCAGGGATTTTGATGTCAGTAGAAAGCTGGCTGAGGAACGGAGGTGGTTGATCTCAATCAAAATGCTTATTGCTATTACTGGAAGAGGAAACATCATGAAAAGAAGACCCTGCGCATATCCCTCTTAATTATTACAACCCAAGGAATATCAACTGTCCTTTCATTACTTATCAAGAGGACACTAATATCTGCTAAATAGGAAAGCCTGTTTTGAGTTCTGACAACATGTTCTTTAGCCATTATTTCAGGTAACTTTTTCCTTAAGCAAGTCATTTTAACCTTGTTTTTCCATGACATCTTTTTTTTTTAGATCAGGAAGCTGGAAATTATATAGTAAGATAACATGGTGAGTAGCTGTAGCTACTGAACAGCACCAATCCAATTGTTTAGTCTTAGTAACATAAGACCAGTGATTAATACTTAGCTCCGTGACCACTACTACTTTTGAGTGCCAAATTGTTAACACTAGATTTATTTGTTTTGTGGTTAGATCAGCCATATATTATTTTATCTTCATCTCTAAAACTGTAATGATAACAGCAGGCATTTGAAATCATTTGTTATGAGAAGTAATTGGTTAGTATGTTTATGAGTCCTTAAAATATGTTTCAGAAATTTGGATAAATTAACATTTTAAAAATACACAAAGTCACTCAATTTAAATTTAAAATACAGCTCAGGCACATTTCTATAGTTTAACA